CTCTCTATTAACAACATACAAAAGACGAATGAAGGCTATTATCTTTGTGAGGCTGTTAACGGCATTGGATCAGGGTTATCAGCTGTCATTCTCATTTCGGTTCAAGGTATTTCACGTTTAATTATCTTGCATTTTGCCATAATTTCTACTGCGCTTTATACATCTTTTTACAATATCTTTTCAGCTCCTCCGCAATTTGAAATTAAACTGAGGAACCAAACCGCTCGTCGTGGAGAACCAGCCGTATTGCAATGCGAGGCGCAAGGAGAGAAACCAATCGGTATTTTATGGAACATGAACAACAAGAGATTGGACACAAAGAGCGATCCTCGTTACACTATTCGCGAGGAAATCTTGGCCAACGGAGTATTGTCCGACCTGAGCATCAAACGAACCGAAAGGAGCGATTCTGCCTTGTTCACTTGCGTAGCCACGAATGCCTTCGGTAGCGATGATACTAGCATTAACATGATTGTACAAGGTTGGTTTGTATATAATTATACATAACATATTATTAATAAATCAACAAAATATTTGAAGTCAAGATCTAATTTGTGCGTTTTTTTTTTTTTTTAATAGAGGTGCCAGAAGTTCCTTATGGTCTCAAAGTGTTGGATAAATCAGGACGTTCGGTGCAATTATCGTGGGCTGCACCTTATGACGGAAATAGTCCGATCAAACGATACGTTATCGAGTACAAGATCAGCAAGGGTTCCTGGGAAACTGATATTGACCGGGTGCTCGTACCTGGCTCACAACAGAACGTAGCCGGAGTGTACAATCTAAGACCTGCGACCACCTACCACCTTCGAATCGTCGCTGAGAACGAAATTGGCACATCTGATCCATCTGACACGGTCACTATTATCACCGCTGAGGAAGCACCTACTGGTCCGCCAACTTCCATCAAAGTGGACGCTCTCGATCAGCATACGCTCAAGGTAACGATTAGAACAATTGCGTTGTGATCGCTTCACGATACTTGTAGATTACACGCAATAAATGTAAATTTCATCAGGTAACATGGAAACCGCCTCCGCGCGAGGACTGGAACGGTGAGATTCTCGGCTACTACGTTGGATACAGACAGTCGTCGGACAAGCCGTACATGTTCGAGACCGTCGATTTCTCCAAGGAAGACATAAAGGAGCACCACTTGCAGATCGCGAACCTCAAGACCTACACTCAGTACGGCGTAGTCGTTCAGGCATTCAACAAGGTCGGCTCCGGACCAATGAGCGAGGAACGCAGGCAGCACACTGCAGAAGGCGTGCCCGAGCAACCGCCTCATGACACTACTTGCACTACTCTTACCTCTCAGACTATCAGAGTGTCCTGGGTGTCGCCGCCACTCAGCGCGGCCAACGGCGTTATCACCGGATACAAAGTTAGTAAAAACGCGACTCGAGAAGGAGGCATAAAACCTTTTGCAGTAGCGTCTTTAAATATTTGCTTTAGGTCATCTACGGACCGTCCGACACGTGGTACGATGAGAATACGAAGGACACCAAGATCACGTCTTCCAGCGAGACCATTTTGCACGGCCTCAAGAAATACACAAACTACAGCATGCAGGTTCTGGCTTTCACATCCGGCGGAGATGGCGTTAAGTCCGCACCGATTCACTGTCAGACCGAGCAGGATGGTAATTGAGAAACTGTTCAACGTGCAAAAGTATATTTTTTCGGATATACTCTATTTTTCGTGTCTACTTTCAGCACCCGAAGCTCCCATCGCTATCAAAGCTCTAGTCATGTCTTCGGAGTCTATTCTTATCTCATGGCGCCCACCTAGCCAACCTAACGGAGTTATTTCTCAATATACCGTTTACACAAAAGCTGATAACGCAGAAGAGCCGACCAGCCAGAAAGTACCACCGAACCAATTAACTCATGAAGCATCTGGATTAGATAAGCAACTCAGATATGAATTCTGGGTGACCGCTAGCACGAATATCGGCGAAGGTGAAGCTTCCAAAATAGTGGCCTTGGCACCAAGTGTTCGAGGTAATTTCTTATTTCTTAGTTCACTCAAAATTCGGATTTTTTTCGTTACGATAAATTAGTTCCGTGAACCGGTTCATGGTTTCTTATAAATAAAAAAGTGTTCCAAGTTTCATATTTAATGCGTTCTTACAGTACCGGCCAAGATTGCATCGTTTGACGACAAGTTCACGGCAACATACAAAGAAGACGTCAAGTTGCCTTGTCTCACTGTCGGCGTACCCGCACCGGAAGTAACATGGAAGGTACGAGGCGCTACTCTTCAGCCGAGCGACCGACTGAGACAATTACCCGAGGGATCGCTATTCATCAAGGAAGTCGACCGCGCGGATGCTGGGGAATACTCTTGTTACGTGGAAAATTCCTTTGGACACGACACCGTGACCCATCAGCTGGTTGTACACGGTACATAAATATTCCGGCATATGGAGATTTTATCTCGGATTTTATTTACTGACTTCAGTTATCAGTACATTAAAATTAACGTTATATTTTCGCAGCTCCTCCGCACTCGCCGCAGGTCACTCTTACCGCCACCACCACCAACTCTTTAACGATGAAGTTACGCCCTCATCCCACCGACAATGCACCGATTCATGGCTACACGATTCATTACAAACCCGAGTTTGGCGATTGGGAAACCGTTCAGATCAGCTCCACGGCACAGAAATATACTCTCGAGAATTTGTGGTGCGGCTCCCGATATCAGATCTACGTCACAGCTTACAACGGGTAACCTTATCAGAACTTTGTCAGATTTGTAAAGCGACTTTTGCAACGAGAAATTTTGTACACGTGAGAGTCTTTTGCAGAATTGGAATCGGCGATCCTTCAGACATCCTGAACACGCGCACAAAGGGCTCCAAACCGATCATCCCCGAAGCGGCGAGATTCATCGAGGTATCCACGAACAGCATCACTCTGCACTTGAGCGCCTGGTCAGATGGTGGCTGCCCCATGTTGTACTTCGTTGTCGAACATAAGAAGAAGTAAGATGAAAAAGATAATAACACGGCGAACGTTCAGTCCGATATCGAGGTCGATAGTTAAAGGCGCGTGTTTCGCATTCTTCAGGCTGCAGCAGGAATGGAACCAGGTTTCGAACAATGTCAAGCCGGGCGGTAATTTTGTAGTATTAGATTTGGATCCCGCTAGCTGGTATCATTTGCGCGTCACAGCTCACAACAATGCCGGTTTCGCCGTGGCTGAGTACGAATTCGCGACTTTGACGGTGACTGGCGGTGAGTATGGGTGATCATTTGACGCACGGCGGCGACTCGTAGCCGGTGCCAATGGTGACTGGATTGAACGGTCGCCGAAACGTTTTCTGTTCCAGGCACCATTGCACCGGCCCGCGAGCTACCGGACGTGAACGGTGGTGGCAACGACGAAGACCCGATGAAAATTTTCATGGCTAACTTAAATCTGGTCGTACCTGTGGTAGCAGCCATACTCGTCATAATCGTTGCCGTCATCGTGATCTGCGTTCTCAGGGGGAAGGGTCATGGTAGCGATAAAGGTAATCGTTATCTACTCTTTTTCTTCAAACAGGCACGATCGCACCTCCCGTACGTAATGGTAACGAAAACTCCGCGGATGTGAGACGGTACTTCCCATGGTTACCTAGCTGGCTCGACGTAAACGTGGTGGTGCCGGTCGGCGCGACGGTTGTTGTCATAATAGTAGGAATAGTTGTCATTTGCGTGGCGCTCTCGAGACGAACTCGAGGCCCGGAACAAACACGGCTGCGAGGTATCTCTTCAGCCGACGAGAAATATTACGAGGGACAATGTATACAAATTTTTTTTAATTACTTTTACTTGTAAGTCATAAAGACGGTGAAAGTTTGTCAGGAAATGAAACTGCGATGAAAACCTCGAAATCTTAATTAACTAATCAAGAAAAAGAAAATCACAAATATGTTGGTCGTACATATTACCTCTATTTTGTAATACTATCATAATTTCTTGACGATCGATTCACGCGTCGGCCACCCTAGTCTTGAAATCCTCCAAATATTTCATAATTTTCCTCCTATGTTTTCCTTTTATTTCACAAGCGTGGGTGATGGCATATATAATGAATATAATACATCAAGAGTAAGAACAGAAAAATATTGAAATGTACGTGCATCCACACGTTGTTAGATCGACCGTCCTTATTTCAGACGACGTAGTCTATCAGCAAACCGGAGTTGGCGGCGCTACCCTGGACAAACGCAGATCCGATCTTCGCGACGAACTGGGATACATCGCACCACCGAATCGCAAGCTTCCACCCGTACCCGGGTCGAACTACAACACCTGCGATCGTATCAAGCGAGGTACAGTTATAAGTAAGCCACAACTGCCAACACTTACCTTTTAGACAAGTTTCGACTACTTGTTTATAGTTGTTGTCGCATCGGCACGATAGTTCCTTCTTTCATCTTTTCTCAAGGGATACACATCGAGATATTCGCACATACAACGTTAGGCTCCCGATCAGTGTCGGACAGATCCCCAGGCCAGACAGAACCCATACACACAATCATTGCCAGTTTCTTCTTTCGTTCGCCACGCTTCGAAATGTTTTTATATACGTTATCGAGTTTGTATGTCCCTCCAGCGGAAATATAACGTTTATTCCTACTTGTTTGCGCTTACCACGCCGTTGGTGCCTAACGAGTGTCGATTGTATCGACTTACGTATTAATTATTATCTTAAAAAAAAAGAGAATAAAGAGCACCTTCTCCCTAGAGAAACCTCTAAAGAGAACAGAACAGGGCTATTGGCAGAAACAAATCTTGATAGGCGCCAGCGTGTCGTACGACCTTTGTAGTATGTGTTTGATAGGTGGAACTGGCTCGTTAAGGAGTCACTCGACGTGGGATCCAAGGCGACACATGTATGAGGAATTGAGTCACTACGCGCCCAACAGGAGATGCCCACCGCCACCACGTATGGGCAGCGCGGACGGTCTTTCGCACAGAGGTTGGTAATAGCAATTTTGGTTAACGGGGCATCCGGCATTTGCCCGATCGCCCTACGAGATTGATAATCGCAGGCGGCAGCCGGCGATGTTGCTGGCTCATCCCAGCCCGGTCTTCGTAAGTCTCCCTCCCGTTTCGTGAAACTTCGCATCACGTTAACGGCACGTCTCGTTTCTCGATGTTTGCACGTTTCCGCATGCCTGCGTTCATAGCACGCCGACAAATAACACAAATCACATAGGAAAGAACTACATTTATTTGCTCATTGTCTTTCCTAAGACAAAAGTTTCTATGCCCGTTATCGTCATATCGATTTTTAAGATTTTCAGGATAGATAAGAGGAATTTTGAATATTTTAGATCAAATGGATAAGTGAAATTAAAATGACTAATTAATTGAAGAATATAACATTATTTCACATGTAACAAAGATTATGTGATTAATCGATAAGATGATCGGGCGTCAATGAACTCGAGTTTACTTAAATACATGTTTAATAATGCATGATCAATTTATTGAAGACTTAATGATTTAACATAGAATGAGAATCGAGGAAAGAAGAAACGTTAAAGTGAGTAAAAGAAATCTTTGCTCGTTTAAATTTGGATAGAAGGAGCATGTAAAATCAATAAGGGGAAGGTTTGTTTATAAATAATTTTTTTCGATTCCATTCTTGATCAAGCTGAACTTAGAAATTGTCGGAAATAAACTTTACACGCGGGAAACAATCTTTATGGCAATCTTTATGGCAATCTTTATCGTTCAACAATGTCTCGTAGATTTACCGCCCGTAGCGGCAGAGTCTACCCTGGTTGATTGTCCATTTGCAGGTATGGAGGATGAGATTTGCCCATACGCTACCTTCCATCTATTGGGATTCCGTGAGGAAATGGACCCGAGCAAAGCTATGCAATTCCAGACTTTCCCTCATCCAGGAAATGGCCACTCTGGCACTATGGGACCACCCGTGGGACATCCCACTAACGCTTCTGCTCATAGCCGCTCTGGATCTCAGTCCATGGTATTTTCTAATACCTCTTTTGTGTATTTAAGCAATTTATTCTCACGTTATTATGTTAAAATTTTTGAGGATGCAATTAATTATAAGGGAAAAATGCCATTTTACGGTCAGAATAATATTATGTGAATTTTATATACATTTCTTTGCCTCAGCAAACCACGCGCCGTTACTTACGGTCTTGAAACGTCGTCTCAAACTAAAGCTAGAATAGTACATTCTACATAATTAAATTGATAATCAATTTAATAATACTAATACCTTAGAATATAGGAAATACACGATATAGAATTTTTGAGAATACTTGTAAAAAACAAATTATTTTGCAAGCTATATTCAGCAACTATCAAAAACCGTTGAAATCGCGATTGATTTTTCCCACAGCCCCGTCAAAACGGCCGCTACTCTCGAGTACCATCCCAAGGAGGCGGCAGCGGCACGCACAATGTTTTCTCACCTGAATACGACGATCCGGCTAACTGCGCTCCCGAGGAAGACCAGTACGGGTCACAATACGGACAGTACGGCGCACCTTACGATCACTACGGATCTCGCGGATCGGTCGGACGTCGCAGCGTAGGCTCGGCTCGCAACATTCCCCTCTCTGGCTCGCCGGAACCGCCCCCACCGCCGCCGAGAAACCATCAGGATCAGAATAACTCCAGCTTCAACGACAGCAAGGAGAGCAACGAGATCAGCGAGGCCGAATGCGATCGTGATCAGCTTGTCAACCGCAACTACGGCGGTCAGTAGAAAGATTCGCGATAACTCGGAGAACGAGCACGGGGGAGACCATGAAGCTGAGACTCGACCCGGTCCGACCGGGAAAGTCACAAGACTCTTTCCCGTTCGAATCCTGATGCCGGTCCAGCGACATGCTCCCTCTCGGAGGAACGATCTCGCTCTGATTCAGCCCTTACTTACTGATGCTCGTTTCATATGCATTAAGCATTATTAGGCGTACGGCGGCTCATTATGCGGACGTATCGCATGGCGGGCGAGTTGCGAATGAAGAAGACTCGCCGCGGACTATGTGTTTTTCTTTCTTTTTTTTTGGTCTTTTTTAATCCTAATAGTTTATATAGTTTCCACAAATTGCATGTTACGTGTTGTCGTAGTAGTTTAATCGTTGTGTCAATCGTGCCGTGTGTTTTTCTATTTCAGTGAATGCTCGCGGCAAGGACGGCATGACCACCGAGGAGATGCGTAAACTCATAGAGAGGTCAGTAGAGCGCGAGTGAGCTTGGTTAACGGTGAACGGTTTTAATTACACCGTTCCTGCCGCTGTGTCTCGAGCGATTTTAATTTCGCGCGAGAACTGTAATTACCGGTCTCATTATACCGCGGCATTTTCCGAATCGAGCGATGTTTTCATGATCGCTCACCGCGGCATCAGCCGCAATCCGATTCGCCTCCACGATCAATTTTCTTTAATGAATCACGCTGTCGATCGATCCTTTCGATTCGCATCCTCACATACCATCATTCGAATACTTGACTATTTGTGCGCGATTGAATTGTCGAATTGACAACGATCGAGTGCACGGTGGTTCACTAGCGACCTTCGAAGAGCCTCGAATGTTTTAACTATTTAACTATTTAACGAACGTCTGATCTTTTCTTGTTTCATGACTAATTACGCAGGAAGCCGTAAGTTCGTTAAACATAATCAAAGTCAGGGTGTACAAACGTTAAAGACATGTGAAGAGCTTTTGAGATGCGTCATACCATTTTCCACTGATTTTCATCATCCCATTGAAGTTCAGCCCGATTTGTTTTGCGGCGAGCAGAGTAGACCTTTCAAAGAACCTTTCAAAACGTTGCTTTCAGACATGACAAAGTCCCCAGTCTCTATGGAGAACGCTTACTAATACAACATATGTTCGCACGTAGCTTTGATGAATAATGCCATGTGTAACGTGTAGCTGTGTAACTAATTTGACGTTAGAATGTGTGATAAAGATAAAGCGCTGATCGTATTTCCACTGCAGCTAATTGCTACTAATGCTACTGTCACCGCTATTTAACCCGCTATTCGGGCTGCTTACGCCATTAACGACTGACATGTTTACGATCGTCATTTTTATATTTTATTTATTCATAGCATTATCATTGCCGTCATCGCTGTTAGTTAATTGTTGTTATATAGCGCATGTTTTCATATCCAATTCGCGTACAGAGATCTCTTCCTCGTATAACAATTAGGCTAAACAAACGCTTTTGTCTTTCTAACGTTAAAAATAAATACGAAATTTGCTGTACGAGGAGAGATCTGTAAGCGAGTGGGATTTATTGCGTGGTATAAGATGATCTGTCGGTGTCGGATATCAAAAACGTAAATTCCTGTTGCAGAAACGAAGCTCCCGGCCGGCAAACCGGCAGCCCCCACGGCGGTCACGGGGGACTCCTCACACCCTACGATACTGTGGCAGTGTAACCTGTAAATCGTCATCTTCCGTGGTCTTCCGCTTCTCTCGATAGCCAACGGCCGTGAGGAAAGCAGCCGAGAGATGCGGAAATGAAGCGCACGCCAACTCTTCCCCCGGTGCTGTCGTCGGTCCAATTTGCAACGATTTACGATAGAAATTAGAGACGTCGTCGCGAGTAGATAGATTCGATTATCGTGTAAGGTGTACGCGTATTGATTATCATCTCGAGAACGTTATCATCTCGATTACGGACGAGGCTCAGTAGCCCGCCTCGCGAAATGGGACCGCCTCCTTCGCCCTCGCGACCATATCACGCGAATTTTCCTCTTTCTCACACTCTTTACGGCCTTCCGCTCTTTCCTTGTACTTCCTCGGGTACGTTCGTTTGCATTTGATCCTGGGGGAAGGCCAACTCATCGAAACTGCCTTGTTTTTGATAAACTTTTTCGAAACCGATTCAGTCGATTACGCACATTCGGGAAGGCCAGACTCAAGACTGTCTGTACTACTGCCCTTATCGCGAAGGAGGCACGATTCGTGAGGTCAGCCACGATGCTTCGTTCGTAACTCTTTTACGAGTCCTGGAACTCCTCGCACGCACGTTCGATTACATTTGAAATTTTTTTTATACCGATATTGACGATTACCGATCGGAGAAAATGATTTGTGTTTTGATACGTGTCTTCCTCGATGATGCGCGTTCGAACGCGATGTGATTTGTGAAGATACTTGACGACACGAACTTATCAATCGACCATCTATCTTTACACATGACGAAATATTTCGGAGAGACTGAAGGGAAATTGAATTCTCTTGCGCTATCGTTGAACGTGCACGTGGGATTCGAGGCTCGTGAGACTGCCGCGAGAGACTGTCCTGTAGGAAAGCGAACACAGCCGGAAGTCTCGTGTTCGCGGACGCTCAGCTGCGGCAGAGACGCGGCCCGCGATGGTGCTCTCGGCGACGGTGGATTTAACGGGGGTTTTCTGATATATATCCGGGATATAATCCTAGGTTACATTCGTCGCAGGAGTTGCGTAATGGGGGAAAAAATGGAAAAAAACGTATAAACAACATAATATGCGTATACATGAGATTAGTTGGTCGCTTTTTAAGTCATGGTTGTGCCACACTGCCGCTCCCTGCGGGCGTACGATATATAGATACATACGTACACATATACTATATACATATACTGTACGATTTATAATTTCGTAAACGAAGGTTGTGTCCCCACCCCCGCCCCCCACCCCCTTACCCGCCACCCCTTGACGATCGGTGATCTTGAGTCTCGACGTCGCGGAGAGCAAAGTTTATAGGGTACGTCGTCGCTTTTTCGTCTTTCGTCGTCGTCGTCGTCGTCCTTCTAGCGATCCGTTTAGACGATCGATTCGAGACATTCCCATCGCTCGCTCGAAAGGGGAGTAGTCCCGTACACGAAAAAACACCGATCGACTGTCCGTAGGAAGAACAATGCGGCAAGCCATCGAGGGAACGCTTCGATATAACACGGCAGGCCAGCCACATAATACTATACAATACATCATCGCCACGCGCGCTGGCGCGTGCACGCAATATACGCCACACTACACTTGCTGTCGTCCTATATGATATAAATATTTAGTCCGCTGTAAACACCTAATTATCCCCCTCGTGCTAATCTTCTACGATCGATTGCGACGTACCGTACGTAAGATTCACTGACATCGCGACGATGATCGTTACAGGTGTAAGCGATTCGAGTAATAAAAAGAAGCTGGTTTAACGTAGATAGCTTTTAAGTCGGACGGATGGTCGCGAGAAGGCGTCGTTGGATCCTCGCGACGAGGCGAGAGGTCGGGATCTGGGAGGATAACGGAACGTATCGGAGGCGCGAACCGAAAATGGTTTTGTCTGTCCGCGATCGGACAATTGATCTTTTACTAGTTTGACGAACGAACGAACGAAGCGGATGCTTCCCGAGCTTCTTCGCGGGTGCACCAGCCCGACGTCGCGCGACGCCGCGGTCACGACGCCGTGTCTCATAGTTCGTTTTTATCACGATACTATTTCTAGATATATACATACAAATACAAATATAAATATATATTATATATACACTAACTATATATACATACGTTGTAAGTAGCTATTTCTAGGTGTCGCATTTGTTTGCCGAGGCGATGCGCGAGCCGGCTCCCAGTTGGGCGACCGGGCCAAGAAGTACCCTCGAGAAACAGCAATCACGCGGATTGCAATTGTATTCTCGTGTATTTAACTCTGGATCATGTTGCATGAGTTATTGTTCCTTGTTAGTGTTAACCATTAACTCGATTCATCTAATTTATCAGATTTATTCATCGAAAGCAAACATTTTGAAAGTTATTTGATATTGATGTTCTATTTATATATACTATTACATCTCAAAGTGTTAACTTCATTCGAGCCGCAATTAGCACGGCCTAAATTGCTACTGCCATTCTTTCTTGTTACGTATCCACGTGAATGGGATTAAAACTGAAAAGACGCACATACACAGACTGAGAGAGAATTTCCGAAAAGTTCGAACAGAATTTAAAGGGTACTTCATCCGCTCGGGTCGCTTCTGCCCTCGCAGAGGAATTCCTACCCTCTGCCGCTCGAAACTGGCCGCGGCTCGACGCGCCAACGCACTTTTACTCATCGATGTGATTTTAAAAGGCTGCGCAAAAAGCCTCGTGTCTCGTGTATATGTTACGATCGCGCTCTTACCGTAATTAACGTAGCCGTATCTCGTCCCAAGTCACCCTTTACGACTTACCAGTATCACGTTCTACTCACGTAACTCGCCCTCCCCTCGCGAAACTTTGTCGCTTCGAATCGCTTCCGAATCTAACCAGAGCTAATATACGGCACAGGCCGATAATGATGATAACGATATTAATGCATTCGTAAATATAGTAATATGATCACGTCCGCGCGCTACCTTGGTCGCGGTTTATCCTTTTGTCTTAAGCGAAGTGGACGTCCGCGACGTCGCACAGGTGATAAACGTTTTTATGTTGTGAGCGGCCCGGGGTGACCGGCAATAAGGGCTGTGAATGAGGCATTTAACAGACAATCAGTTAAATCGGATTTCGGCTAAACATTAAATGTTTTTCGCAGCTGAAACGAAGTCGATAACGAGTAATAACGATACAAAGACTGAGAATTTTTACGTCCACGTTTGCTTACCGCTTTTCATCCACCTTTCGCTCGCGGTTGCTTTGCCCCTCACAGTAGCATCCTGGTAAGATTGATAATATTCGCCGCTCGTGCCCCTTCTTGCTGGACACCCCCCGAGCCCATCGTTCGCTCGTCGCGCTTCTCCGTGATCGACGTTATACTGCGGTAGTAATTCTTTGCAAGACTCGACGTTACTTTTTTGAGAGACGCCGCGAAGCGTGTCGCTCGCTTGTGTATGCTTGATTGATAATATGCGTTGAAAGCATTTGGCTGTTCTTTTCGTACGACGGCGAACGCGGTTCTTCGAGAGCTCGTGTTCCTTCCCCCTTCCCGCCTTCCTCATCGTCGCCTGTCAAACTCGAAGCGTTTCCTTCGTGTTCCTTTTGACGATCCTTGCGTACGTGCGGAAGAATCGCGGGAACGCGATATCTCGTTTGACAATGGAAAAATAAAGGTGAAAGGAAAAAAAATCCGCGCGCAACGTCATCCGCGCTCGAGGAGACTCGAGGATCCGCTCGCAATGTACCGTTTCCTCTCAACGCCACTACTTTATGTTTTTGTACCAAAGTTGTAGCGTCTAACTTTGCGTTGAATAAAGAAACCTTAAAACGATCGCCGACTCGTGTTTTTTTCTTCAATCTTTTATCAATTATGTGTAAAGAAACGTAAACGTTTTATATCAAGAAACACTTTTATTATATACAAGTAATATAAGCTTTTGTTTTAATGAAAAACTGTTACGGTTAATTAATTACTTTATTTAAGAATAAGTTTAAGTTTAAAGAATAAAGTTTATTTCCAGTTTATGATTATAAAAAAAAATACAATAATTTTATATCACAATTTTTCCTTTTCAAATTTTATGCCTGAATAAAATTGTTGACGTGATAGGATAGAAAAAAAATGAATCAACATTTTTCGCGATAATTCAAGTTTCTTATTTTAATATAATTATATAATCTCATTTTTTTAGTATCAAAATATTTTCGTATCAAAACTTGATTTCATACAAGTATTTCTCTCTCTTTTTGAGATCTCACATTTAAAAATATTGTGATATTAATATCCTTCATTAGCATAAAGAATTATATAAAAAAAAGATAGAAAATAAGTAAGTAATATTTGCGTTGCTAAATTGTGCTAAATAATTCATACATTAAAATTAAAGTAATTTGTATTGGCAATCGTAATAAAAGGCGAGCATACATCAGTATTTATTTTCTATTCAAAGTACGGAAAATTATAATCGCCAAGTTAAAAACGGCGCGTAATGACGCCGCCGCGTCACTCTTGTCGCGTGAAGTTGACCGCGCGGCAGGAGACGACGCGCCCTCCGCCGTCTTGATTACGTTCCCCTCTCCTTTCCAGAACGCGGCGACGGACGGACACGGGACGAATCGGCTCCGGCACAAGTGGCATCGGCGGCGTCGCGCGAGTCATTTAATTGGTAAGAATAGCACATATTAACCTTGTATTCATTATTTAATGCAATATGTAACGCGTAGTATAGATTCAGCGCTCGGGTATTGACGATTCTTTAAAATTCGTGTTTCACCGTACTTGTTCGGTCGAAAATGCATCGCACGGGCAATCGCGAAAGTAATTGTATTTTCGAATATCGCGATATCGCGGATATCTATATTAAGAATACTAGTACGCCTATTCGCTAGAATACAAGATGACAATCGTGCTAAAAGGCGAGCGTATAGTATTTGCTATCTCAAGGTACGGAAAATGCATAACCGCGAAATTGTAACGGGACGCGTAATGACGTCGCGTCGATCTTGTCGCGTGAAGTTGACCGCGCGCGGCGGGAGACGACGCGGTCTCCGCCATCTTGATTACGTTCCCCTCTCCTTTCCAGACGCGGCGACG